AAATAAAAATAACCATTAACATCCTAAAACTCATTTGCATAATTTTAAAAAAAGATATATGAATACATAAACCAAATGTGTATATACTCAATTACAGATAATATAGAATCAAGTTCAACTCTCTAAATTAAAGTGTTTATCTTACAATTAATTTATATAATTCAACTTTTAAAACTATATATGATCAAATAATAGTTTATTTAAAATAAAATACATAAATAGATAAACAAATTTAAAAACAAGAAATTTCCAACAATTCACATTTTTAACGGGACTCTATTAGAATGATTACCAAGCATGAACACACAGTTTACAAGAATAAATATCCAACAAGCATGGACATACAATTTATGAGGGTAACTAACCAATAAGCACGACAGCAAGCCACGAAACAAGCGCAAGTAAAAGGCCCACGAAACAAGCGTGAGCACAATGCTTACAAATAACTATCCCTTCATTCCTTATGTATCGGCCTTCATAAGGAACTAGTACCTCCTATAAGTATCCTGCTAGCTAAGTGTACCATGGCGTGCCAAGGGCTAATGGTACTACCGTTAACAGCTAGCATTTTGATTTAATTCCACTTTTCAAATCAAGCATGCATGGGTCGAAAGTCAACATATTGTTCCTTTTCAAAATTACTCATCAAATGCAACATAAATGAATGCATCTGTATATCAATCTCATGCATGAATCATAATAGTTAATCATCCTTTATATATAAATCACACATCATCAAATATAGCAACTGCTTTCCAATATTCATTTGAAAAATTATAGTTTCAACTCTTTTTAGAAAATCTATTATAATTAGAACATTTCTAAATACAATAGGCAGTAATTAAAATGAAAATCATAAACCATTAAGGAAGCATAATAAAAATACTCTATCATTTGTCTTGAGGATTTTTTTTAAAAATCATGTGAATAGAGAAGGTGGCATGTGAATAGGCTCAATCAGTATTTGAAAAAATGAATTTGCTAATAAATATTGAGATTCTATTTAAACACCTGTAAAATTTTCAAGTGCATAACTTACTTCCAAACTAGTTCTCAAGAGTCAATGCTTTGTCCTAAAATTTTTAATATTCAAATAATATCATTGTCACTTCCCCAGCCATGCTTTACCATACAAAATCTTTAAATCCAAAACAACTTAGAGAAATAAAACCTTCACTTTTATCTTTCTCAACATATTGTATAAAATATCCCATCCCACCGATATCACAAAAATGAATATCAAATTGGTTATTAAATTACTAACTCAAATATCTCTCCCAAAAGCCTCTAATTTTTGCTTTAACTTTTATTACAAAGAACTAATGCCTAACATGATTGTTTAATCAATGATAGTATATTTGTCACATAAATTTTTCCACTTTATATCAAAATCTTCCTTTCTATGCTCAATGTCGAAACCATAAAATCAAGCTATTTTTCTCATTAAATCCCTTTCCAGAGGTTTTCTTATATCCATAATTAAACTATTCACCTCCTCTGTCACGCCCCAAAAATATAAAGTGACTGATATAGGACGTGAATTGAATCATACATCCCTTAAGCCTCAAATCAAGAAAATTTTTCATTTTCAATTACATAATTAAATTTTTAATTGAAATTAGGACATAATTAATAATATTTCATTTTAATGAAAGTTTTAATATTTTTATAAAAATTTCGACAGAGCCTTCCTTATAAATAAGATCTCTCGAAATTTCTAAAATAGAAAATATTATAATGTGCATTCAACAAATTGGAATTATGTTTCCCAGCCATAGACAGTTAACATAATAAAACAAAATTAGGATCCTAGCTATAGTTAATATGGAGTGCCTAAATATAAATCTCAAAATAAAACACATAATTGAACATTTACATCAAAAGAGAAGAGGTTTACAAAGGTAATTATTCATCCAGCACAATTGCAAGCCCTTAATAATTGGCAGGAGGTCTAGTGTCAGCTAATGAATCTGAGACAAAATATTTTCTAGTAAATAGCATCCCCAAAATAGAATCTTAAAGAGCAAAATAATAAACTTACCATTATATAAAATGATCTCAAGGAAAATAACTCAGTATAATAACTCCAAAAAAATTTAGAGATATCAATTATAATAATAAGGCATGAAGGACTTAAAATTACTTGATTTTGATAGATTTAAAGAGAATAATTTATTCATATTTAAATAAAGGTAACAACTTACTAACTGCGTACATTGAAAATTCAAATATACTAGCTGAAAACAATCAATATAATATAATCATGAACTTGAAAATTAAGAAATTCATATAGCTTCAAAAATAATAAACCATTAAATTTACAATGACAAAACAGTCTTAACGCTTTGTTCTTGTAAAATAAAATGGTTTAGTAACTAAATAAAATAATATCCCTTCTTAAATAAAATTAATGAAATGTGTATGCACAAATCAATCAAAAGCCAATGATTTAAGGACTTTGCAAAACAAATAACAAATGTGAACACATAGTCCACGAGGGTGAAATAACCAGACGTGGCCTATGCCACAAAAACAAACATGGACACACAGTCCACGAAGGTAAGTAACTAAATGCAGCCAAAGCTACAAAACAAACGTGGACACACAGTCCATGAGGATAATGCTAACCAAATGCAGCCAAAGTCATAAAATAAATGTGGATACAAAGCCCATGAATAACAACCGTGAGATCAAAGCTCACGAATAACAAACGTGAGAATAAAACCCACGAAACAAACTAGCTACTTTTTGATCGAGGCGCGCAAGGGCTAACGGAACTGCCGTTAGCAACAGTGTTCTGCTTAAAGTCCTCTTAAAAATTACTTTTCAAACATGTGAGAAAGTAATCATTTTCAAATACAATTTTTCTTTTTCAAACCAAACTCGCATGAATTATTTTACACTTCAATTCAATACTTGTCGTAATAAAATTTCATAAATAATGTCCATTCTTGCATTTGTTAAGTAGCTAAAATTTTCAAGAATTCGATGAATAAAAAAAATTTTCTTTCATCAACCTTAAAAGCATATCTTTTCAAGGAAAATACTAACAAAAATCATAATTTAAGTATCCATTAACATCATTCTATAATCTAAAAAAAAATAGATAATTTAATTAACAAGATTACCAACATATATGTATATATATCATGGTTGCTAATAAGAACAATATACATAAAACTATAATAATCTTAATGAAAGATTTTTTACTAATAAATTAACTGGGGTGCTATTCACTTACCTACTAAATTTTAATCCCAGTGATTTTCTTTTTCAATTCTTATCAAGGGACGCATCTTCCACACACCCTATAAGCATATGTATAAATGAAACCTCAATTGGCTTCCTATAGTAATATAAACTTATTCCACCACCAACACAATTCCAACCAATTGGAAGCATTCAAAATCCCAAAAACCAATATTCATATCTTAATGATTTCCCAAGCATCATCACTTACCACCAATTTATCCCATAACATTCTAATCATAAGCACCACTTAAATGAGATATGGTTTTCTCATACCTTATGTCGAATACATTGTGAGCAAAATTTTCAATTACCTATAATTAAACTTATCATACTTCTTTTACCCATTTTTCAAGCACCTTAAATGTAACCTTAGGATCAAATAATAAAACACCACTTTAACTAACCACACAATAACTTAAGAATCAAATCCTTTGCAATGCTCAAATTAAAATTCACCTATATAAAGTTTGAATTAGTCATATCTCTCATCACAGTAAATAGATTTTCAGGAAAATCCCAACCAAGCAAAACTCTTCACACAAGCATTTTATCGAACACTTTATAAGCACCGATCTTAAATTTCATGCCTAAGCCATTCTCTTACAATTTTATCCCACCAAATTCTCAAAATCAATCAATCAAATGAAATTACTTCAGCTTAAAAATTCAAACCCATATATATCATTATGAAACTTTAAGATAGACTTCTAACCCAACCTTGAATTTTCATTACCATCATTTTTTTTTTCAGCACGGTAGCAGCAGAACCAGAAGAGAAAGTTGAAATTTGATGTCCATGATTTCACCCACTTACACACACAGAAATTCTCTAAGGAAAGGAGAAGAGATCACGTTTCTTACCTTTAGTAGACCAATAATGCACGAACAGGGAAGGGAAAGGATTTTTTTTCCTTCTACTACACGATTCCAGCATAGGAAGAGGACGAAAAATTTTGACGAGTTCACAACCACAAGCGACGAATTGAAAAATGACTAGAAAGCCTGATTTACTTGCACGATTTCACAGATGGCAGAATAAAGGAGATTGACGCAGAACAGGAGAGAACAATACCGACCTATTTTCTGCGTTCCCATAATGAAGATTCCAACATTCATGAAGTTGCGGGTAACAAGTTGAACGTCAGAGATGACGGCAGAGGCTAGAGGAGCTAGACGAAGCTTCAAAGCTTTTGGTACCAAATACTCAAGCTCTCTCTACCAACTCAAGGGGCACAAATCGCAGAAGAGAGAAGTAAGGAAGAGAAAATAAAAATCTGATGGAATGGGGACAGTTTAGTAATTTCAGGAGCTGTGTAGTTTGGTAATTTCAAGAACTAACAGGTATTGTTAAAAATTAGAATTCCTACCTTGAGCCTTCCAAGAATCGAACTTAAGACTTGATAGGGGAGTGATAACACAATTTCTACTAGACCAACATTTCCACTTGATATAATAGCTCTAGAATTAATAAAAATTCAAACCAAATATCTTAATTATCATAGTTTTTTATTATTATTATTATTTAACCAAATTTGTTGGGTCATTACATCCTCACTCCCATCAAAGAGAATAATTATCTTCTAATGATAGTTTATTTAATCAACAATATACTCATCATATACATATTATGTCATTATATAACAAGAATCCCTTTTGGTCATTTTGTCGATCACCTTGTGGGCATTAAACTTCAAATTATTACCAAACTTCCTATTTGGCTCTACTTCCCAAAATTTCTAACACAAATATATGAATAAATCAACTTCCCAAGTTCCATTCCTTTAACAAAATCAATATAAATTCTAATACAGCTCAAGTCCAAACTAAATCCTCTTTATTGGACTTAAATTCAACTTAGTTCCATAACCCCTTTTTCACAAACACGTGTAGGCGTAGCCTTACAAACCAAGTAAGAAAAATTGTTTTCTCAACTACTTAGGCACATACACATAGAGCTAGCAAGAGGAAACTTCGAAACTTCTCACCTCAACCCAACACCACACCAACACAAACAACTTGAACAAGGGAGAAGGACAGCAAGCTAAACAGTGCTCTGCATCTCCAAAAGCAATCAGAACTGGAAGGAGAACAGGATGATGTCGTGCTAATAAGGAGGAGGAAATAGAAGAAGACCATCACGCACCAGAATCAACAAGAATGGTTCAAAGTTTATCACCTCAATCAGTGATGACAGGGCAGGGAAGGAGAAGTTGCCCTATACCACAACAAGAATAGAGACGGAAGAGAAGAGCTGGACATCGAACACAGAAGAGGCTCCACCATACCCACTGTTGATGACAATGGAGAATAGAAAAGAACGTTCGGCGCCGCTGCTACAATCAGAGGAAAAACAAGCAGAAGTGACCACGACGTTCACAGGGAAGAGAAGCTCAGGCGGTGACCTCCATAATAGAAACACATTCAGAGGAGGAGGCACGAATGATAGAATGAAGCAGAAGACAAGGAGCAGAGGATTTTTCAGCTTGAAATCTAGCTGACTCCACAGGAAAATTCTCGAGAAGGTGAATAAAAAAAATGTGATGCTAAATTTTTTAGAACAGAGGGCATTTTGGTGATTTTACTAGAAGCTAAAATAAAAATAAAATACCTCTCTTGTGCTAGAGGGATTTTGAGCCTAAGACCGCAGAGATACATATTTGGCACTAACTCCACTAGACCACCATCCCTTGTTAAATTATAATGACCCAAACATTTAAATTAAATGATTTTCCTTCTCCATTTGAGATTTTATTTAATTAATTTAGTTATAACACATAAAGAGTATTGGCCAAGTAAAATTGGTATTTGTTGCTTACATAGAGATTTAGAGTTCAAATCTTACTCAAGTTAAGGATTAGTTTATTTTCTTTTATATGAAAAAAATACTAAAGCGTCCCTTGTTTTTTTTAATAAAAATCTGCTGGAGTGTTATTTTAAAATTTTTCCCAACAAGTTTTGGGTATTGTTCTGTAATTTTCTCAATAAATTTATTATTTCATGTTCTCCATTCTTCTGAGTCGGTCATTTGCGTATAACAGAGGGAGAGATGGCTCATGTTTTCCTTTGTTTTTCTTCCCGCTCCCGTTGCACTGGTTCCAGCTTTACCGTTAGCGTGTGTGTCTTCTCCACTTCGGAAACTTGTTCACTCCCTTCCCTTTTGCTGTTTGTCAGTTTCCTTAAGTGCTGTAGCTGAATCTCTCCTCTATTTTTTCGTTCTTGCGTGCTGACAGAGGTGAGTGTGTGTTCGTCTCTTTTCTTTTCTTCCTCTCAACAGTTGGGCGTTCGTGTATGTGTGTAGAGTAGGCTCAATCTTTTCTGTTTTTCTCATATGAAATTACTGCTTCTCTTCCTCCTCGCTGAACCTTGTCTGCTGTGATTCCCACAGCTACTTCACGCTCCTCTGTCTCTTTCTTTTCTCAGTGCTGGTGTGGTGTGCGTGGGTGACCAGAGAGTTGGGCGTAGTGAATCATGTTCCTTCCATCTTCCTCCAACGGGCTGGTGCTTAGGAAGTGAGTAATTGCTATTTCTTCTTCTTCTATTTTTCTGGTGGTCTGGCGTGTTGTGGCTGTTGGAGACTGGAGTTGGCATTTTGTTTTATTTGTTCCCGCTGGTTGTTAGTAGGAGAAGAGGAAAATTGAATTTCTTTATTATCTAAAGTAGTGAGGAAGGAAGCTTATTGGATGAGTCTATACATGTTTGAATTTTTAGCTAAAATTTCTGATTTTATTTGCTGCCAAATGTGATTTAAGTGTTGATTGGAATTTAATTTTAGATGCTTTGTGTTTTTGATGATGTTAGAATTAATGTTGAAAGTGGATTAAATTTTTGGGTACTTATTATGAATTGAACTTTGATGAATGCCTTCGAGATGTTTGTGAAAATGCTTCAAAGAATGATGTTAAATGGTCATAATATAGCTTGAAGGAATGTATGTGAGTAGTGGCTTGAGCTAATAATTGAAATTTTAAAATACCAATTAGGAGCAAGGATTACATAAGATTTTTGTATAATACTTTATTAAGTTTAAAGAAAGCATGAGAATAATGGACATGGTTTGTTATGATTTATGATTGAGGATGGGTTATAAGGAGATATAAGGATGAATTAAGATTTGTCAAATAGTTTAATTGACTCAAGTGTACTTGGAACTCAAACGAAGATAGTGCTATCTAACTTATTATTTGCAAATCATGACATTGCTTATAATTTAGTTTATATTATGTTCTAAGGTATTTGAACATGAAATTTGAAGCAGATATGACTATTTAATTTTCATATTAGACCATAGAGGAATTATAAATGCAACTTGAGGAATTATATGTCTTTACATATATAAGTTGTAAGGTTGAGAACTACTTATTGGAATCGTGTATCACTTAAAGGAAAATTGTCAAACTATTTGGTAATTATAATTTTGTTAAGTTGGAATAATGATTGTGATTGTGGTTGAAATTGAATACTGCCAAACATTGTTGAACTACTTGATGGAAGTTATTGGAGGGATTCATGAAAATTTAAAGAGTTATTGAAGAGCTTGAATGCTAATTTTGTTTGTTTATAATGACAGAAGGATTGTTAAATTATGTGCTAGATTACTTAGGACATCATTGAAGTAAGTGAGAATTTGAGGGGTCAAGCTTTAAAATTGTTGAAAACTCTTAGGTGAACGGGTAGCATTCTAAATATAACTTTAGTAATGTATTTATAAAAAAATTTCCCTATTTGAATTTTACTTTTATTCCCTTGTAAATTATATTAATATTTTTTTTTCAATTTAATTTTTATAATAATTGTTTTATTGATTGTCCTCTCTTGAATTTACCAATAATTGATGTTGTTATAGCTTAATTATGGAATTCCACGTATAACATGGAAATGAATTTGGACAATGAGGAATTAATAGTAAACGATATGGTTGAAAATAAAAACTTTGATATTGTTGTCTTGTCCTATATACAGGCTTGGTTTTTATTAAGGGAGACTGAGTTTAGAATGCTGGTTGCTAACGGCAGTTCCGTTAGTCCTTAGTGCGCTATGGCATACCTAACCAGCAGAGTGCTTGAAGGAGGTGTTAGCCCCATTTGTAAGCCAACGCACGTTGAACGAAGGGACGAAAATTCGTGAGCATCGTACTCACGCTTGATTATTTCATGGCTTCTAGTCACGTTTGATTATTTAATGGCTTTAAGCCATACTTATTGGTTACTTACCCATATGGATTGTGTGTCCATGCTTGTTGGTTACTTACCCTCATGGACTGTGTGTCCACGCTTGTTAATCGTTTTGATAAGGTTCCACTAAAAGTGAAAATTTTGAAACTTATTATTGTTAAATTTATTCTATTAAACAAACTTTTATTTGATCGTACATAATTTTATACGATAAATGCCCTCTTAGATTGGTTTTAAAATTTATTGTTTTATATTAATCATTCACAAATATTTTTATTATATCATTGTTTGAATTCCTTTTACATATTTTATGAGTTGTACTATTCTTGATAACCTATAAAATTTTAAAATTATTGGTTTATGTCACAATCATATCACTGAGCAACTTTGTCATTTAGTGTTAGTTAAAATATATGTTTTAATATTCCATTAGTTTATTTTAAACTAAATTTTATTAATTACTACTTTTACATGTCGTATTTAAAGTTTGGATTGGGACGCTACTCATCATAATTTTTTTTTGTTCTCAAATAATGTAATTGACCCTACACAGGTCTGTTGATCATTAAGGAGCTTTATTAGTTTTGATGATGGAAGCACACTTCAATCATTTATTTTAATGTAAACGCTCATTATATTATATAATGATAGTTAATGCTCCACGTATATCATAGTTAGATTCTAGTTTTAATTTGTTAGTATGTAATTCATTGATATGGAGTAGTCTCCTTTGCTGGGTTGGTTGACAGGTTTTGTTATCGTAAAAACTTTGGAGGGTTCAAATTATAGGGGGGATTTTGTTAAAATTTTTACAAAACATTTAAAACTTTATAAACTTTATTATTTTATATAACTTATATATCAATATTTTAACTCAACCTTTGACTATCTAGGCTTATGGAATATGAGTATACCTCATAGCCAATCATACCTTTGGGTGTGACATAAATTTTCTCTAGAATTAATAAAAGTACAATAAAAAATAACTAACCGTAGATTTTTTTATTGTGTATATATATATATTTTAAACAAAATTTCTAGGTCATTACATACTTAAAATTGTTTTATTAATTGTAACAATATATTGTGCGATTAATTAAATTAAATACTTGTTTATGACTTGAGAGAGTTTATTCAAGTATTTTTAAAATCTTAGGTTACCATTTATTTTTATTAATTAAATTTTAATGTTATGAGATGCAAGGGGATAAATCTTAGGTTCCAAATCATACTTGAAGTCTAAGAATCATTTTCTTTTTTTTATTTTCTAATTTTAATCTATTTTTCAAAATTAACTTTGTCCTCTAATTGTGTTTTGCTTAACTTAATTGAATTTATATAGTATTTTGCTTGATCACTTTTTCTTAACACAAATCTTCATGTGAATAATACTTTACTTATACTTTATTACTTGCCAAGGCCCTTGCGCTTATGTGGAAGAGTGCAACATAATTTAAGAGCGAACAAGTGTCGTTATAATTTCGAGTTATTAGACAATTTTTCTCTTATTGTCTTGATAAGGTGAAGATATATTAATTGTGTGTTTTACCCACCATCATGATATTGATTGTGATATTATTAGGGGCAAAATGGAAAAATTGTGGTTGTTTTATATACTTTCAACTAAATAACAAATTTTTATTAGTATATGTGATATAAAAGCAAACAGTTGAAGAGTCAATTCCATTTTTTTTAACCATAACAAAAGTGTTAAAGTAAGTTAGATTCCTAGGAACTTATCAGGGCCAAAGTATGCCCCTAAATTTAGAGTTTTTATAGAGTTCTTACTGATCAACTATTAACAAGATCTTCACATCAATAATGAAATTTAAACCTGTAATTTTGAGTTATGGGCAAATTAAAGTCCCAAACTAACTGGGCTAACCTTGTTAGTATTATTGGAGGTTCAATTCTTAATATCAGGGTATGAAGCAAATATAGTTAGAAGACATATATATAAATATATATTCTATGCCCTTGATACTCAGAGATTATGGTTGGCGGAGGATTTTCTGTCTCATCTAAAAATTGAAGGAAAAACTAATCACATATTCTATACCTATCAATTATAAACGAAAATAAAAGTTCATCTACCTAGAACAATTAAATGCTCAGAATTCAAGTCATTATGACATAAGAAAAATAATAGAATTTCAGAAAATTTAGTAGCGAGACTACCTAAACAAAAGAGTGCTGGAGATTTGGAAACTAATAAAATAGATAAAGAATTATTAATCATGTACATCATACTATAACGAAGGTAGAATGAAGGATTCGAGAAGTTAGTTCATATGAATTATGAAGAATAAAATGAGAGAAGAAAATAATGCAATAAAGGCTATAGTGCTTGCAAATGATTCCTGTTCACACTTAAATTATAAAACTAAATCTCTCATTTGGATACACAAATATTTATGAACTTGTAATTCTTTTGTGACTTAAAATTTCTTCTACACCTTTGTCATTTGAAATTCTAATTACTTTCAATATATTGTTCTTTTTGCATTTATTGATACTTGCATGATTCATATCTTTTTTCATTTATTATCAATTAAAAAATAAAAATAAATTCATCATTTTTAATTTTTCAATTTTGTATTGAATTTTAGTTCATCTTTCTTTTTTATTTGAAAATTTTTAAACTACCCAAACAAAGAGTTTTAAATACATAAATTTCAAATGTAAGATTTTAAATCCATCAATCCAAATGTTACTTAAAAGTTAAATCAAATAAATCCAAATTCATCAATACAAATACTACCTAAAAGTTAAATACATAAATTATTTCTCATAAGGTCATCAATGCAATGTATTTTGCAATTTTTTAGACATTAGGTTTAACTTTGATCACTTTGTCGAAAATCTAACTCTGATAGCTGAAAGTACCATGTTTAATTGTTGACACAAGTGCTTAGCCCATTAATATTGTGTAGTTTTATGTCTTTGAATTGGATGTAACTCTTTTGGGTCTTCTGTGTGTAATTGGTCCGGTCCACGTGACAATGTTCTTGCTGTATCCCGACAAACATTTGTTTCTGAAACAATCGAAGGCCTCTAATATTTTAATTAACATAAAAGAGAAAGCAGAAAATTAAAAATTTATGTATAAGAGAAAGCAGAAAGCTTGACTTTCTACATCGGGTGACTAAGCACCCACTGTAAAATTTTTTTTTTACAGCAATTCGCTTTTCACCCATTGTAAAAACTATAATACACGTTGTCATTATTACAAAAATGCCACCGCCTTAACTTTCTATATCGTTTGCCTTCCAACCGATGTAGAAAGTATCCCTTAAATTTCATATTTTGTAGTAGTGTAATTAAGAATAATCAAGTGTAAATCATCAACAAATGAGGGATACACTGGTCCAGATGAAATGAATCATCCAATCCATTAACATTAATGGAAATTGATATTATCTATATAATTACTGATCTTGTACGTTTTTTGGGCAAATTGCTTCTTTTTCCTTATTTAATATTAATGGGTGGATGACAAATAAATCCTATCAAAATAGGCAAATGACAATTAAATATCATGAAATAGATAATTACTTTCAAATCCTCAGGGACTAATAAAAAAATAAAAAAAGCGTAATTGTTAGAGCTTAACCTCAAGTTGTTAATATAAGAAATATAGTAGAATTTAGTTATGTAATAATAAATACACTTCTTATATTAACAATTCTAATTTAGTGATCAACAACTTTAGTTTAGGTATTAATAACACGATTGATCATGATTAAATTCAGTTTATACAATGCAATAATTATATGCTTTCTATATTAACAACTTTGCATTCTCTATTAACAACTTTAGTTAAGGTTTTAACAACTACACTTTCTATTATTTTGTAGAGGGTCAGGAATGTAATTTGTCAAAAAATTCTGACAGATACTTAGGTATTTCAGTGTAATTATCTTATTTCATGGTACTATTTTATCATTTGTCTATTTTGAAGTGATTTATTTTTCACCCTCCATTAATTATTATTATTATTATTATTTTTTGTATAATTTGTCAAGCAGGATCAAATCCACGAGCTAATTAGTACCATCAAGGGTAAGCATCATGCCATTAGGTCAGAGGACCATTAACATATGTTGAAGTTTAATTTTTAAGCCTCTAATTTTTATATTATATTATATTTTTTATTTATCAATATTTTTTATTTAGTCAAAAATATAATTAAAAAAATATTAAAGATAAACATACAAAAAATTGAATCTCTCTTTACAATTTGAACTCATCATCAAAGATTAACAAAGATATAAAATAAAGACAATCCAAGAAGTTCTGTTACGATGGTTATATTTAATTCATCAAAGGTAAACAGATCTTTCTGTGTCCAAATTCCATTTATTTTGATCAGAACAGATCTACAAACCAAATAATTCAACACTAGGTACAATTGAGAGTTTTATCATCTAAAATTTACGGAGATATATTCAAGCTATCCACTATGTATGATATGAACCTTGAGAGAACTGCTTCCTGATATGATGGAACTTCATATATATGGAGTTGATGCTGTTTTGATTCTATCTTCCCTGCAGAAAACTTGATCTTCCTGCAGGAAAGAGCTATTGCTAAAGCAACTGTAATCTGTCATAGGAATCAAGTACTTAGTTGTAATTTTCTGAATGAACAACATAACAAGTGCTTGTGTGTGCGTTTTCAAGCTGAGTTTAGTCACCAGTTTAAGAGACATACCCCAGTTCCATTGCTTTGGTTGGTGGCTCACAAGATTGAGACTGAGGCTGGCTCAGCTGCAGATAGATTGGTGCATGTAACTCTTCACAAGTCTAATTAAAAAAAAAAAAAAAAAGACGACACTCCATTTAGTCTCCAAAGGAAAACTTCCAACACTTAACTTTTTCATGTTGATATGACTATCTGTATCTGATCGGGTTAGATCATTCTACTAGGATCAATGCTAGTTGGTAAACATCTATGCTCTGTTTGGATGGGAAGAAAATTTGGGAGGAAAGAAAATGACAAGAAAGAAAATGGAGAGAAGAGAAAATTGAAGAGATAATATTATCACCCTTTTGTTTGGATGAACAAGAGAAAATAGGAAGGAAAGAAAATAGGCACATGACATAATGACAACAGTACCCTTAGTTAAAATATATTATATGTCTTAGGTTATTATCTTAAAATAAATTGAAGGAAAAAAAAAAGAAAGACAATCTCAATATTTTAATATCAAATAATTTGCAAGATATATTTTTATTTAAAAATCAAAACAGATAAATTTTTTAAAATAAAATATAATAACCCGTAAGAAATCAAATTAACGTTATTGTGCGTATTTTTTTAAACAAAAATGGAGAATATGATGGTCATGGAATTGGAGATGAATATGTGTGTAATGTTGCTAGTTTAAAACAGTGTTAGGAAGAAAGTTCACAACCAAGAAGATCAAGGAAAAAAGGAGGACAATATTGGAATAAGGGCTTTCTTCTCAAAATCTCTCCACATGTAAAGAAAAAATGTGAGAGGAAAAAGTGGTGGGACTCACTCTTTATTTTCTTCCCAACTTTTCCTTCCTTTCAATTTTCTCTTCTCAACCAAATAGGGAAAAATATATTTTCTTTCCTGTTTTCTCTTCTAGTTTTCTTTCCTCCCATAATTTCTTCACGACCAAACAGAAGGTTAACTTTTTGATAAATAGCGCAGGCACACAGATGGTATTGTTATCTTTCCTCCTCTTTCTGGTGTAATTGAGGGCAACTCTTGTTGATTTTGCAAGCATATGCGCTTGTGAGGCTGATAAGTTATATGAATGGAAAGATGAAGATATAGCTAATTAATGTACATGATCTAATTTGATAAAATGTTTTTATCAGCTCAATTACCTTCTGTAATTCCGCATTTTCTTTGCTAATGACTTCTATCCTTTTATGGAGTTCTACATTTTCTTCACTGATTTGATATCCCTGCAATAGAATCATTAAATTATAGTTAGAATTTGTGGGAATACGTTTCACACATGCATGGCAAGATCAACAGAGACAGATTCTTGAATACCTCTTGTTGCAGTTCTTTGATTTTATCCTTCAAAACTTGTTCCTGACGATAATTTAGCGATCAATTTAAATTCTTGTCCGGTAAAAATGAAGATATGAGTTGCATTTATCATTGATCAAACCTTTTTGATCCGAACGCTTTTTAAACTTATCCCCAGTTGATTTTCCAAACTTCGCAATTCGTTCAAGCCCAAACCGGATAGTTGTTCACCCATCAATTGCCTGCAAATTACGAAACACTAAATGAGTTGCGTCTGGTATACCAAGTAGTTCAAGTTTCTTAAATTCAGAGGACATAAAAGGAAGAAGGAAGCAATTGCACTTGTAAAGAGATTTTATGATAGTTGAGTGAGTTCAGAAGGATTAGTGTGTTGCGCTGTTCAAATATTGCACTTGTAATAACCTGTGGCTTTCTTGCAAGCGTTGCAGTTGCTGCCTCAAGACTGTTGCTTCTGTCTGCCAAAACTAGCAAATAGAAAAACAGATATCATAAAATATATATTTATATATATAGCTTCAAATATTATTTATGTCCAATGAAGAGTAATGCAATTGTGAGGAAGAAGGCATGAATTCTAAATATGAGTTCCTTCTAGCCATTGGATTTACAGTGCATTTATACATCGGCCAGATAATAAAAATAATTTCCAATTTTCTTTTAGTGGAGAAAATCATTGCCTTAATTTTCTTTACATGCACATAGGGAATTTCTCTTAGAAAATATCTTTTAAGAAATTAATAATGGAGTTTCTAATGGAAACCTAAATAGAGAGAAATTCCAGAAGAACAAAGAGGGAAAATTAGAGAGAATTTCTCTTGTTTTTTTTAAAGTTCTCTCTCATAATTGTTCCGAGAGAAATTTGCTATTTTGTTGTAGTGATTTTCCTTTTAATCCTTCACTCCCATGTATTGATCTCTCTTTCTGTAATGTAATCTTATTGCTTGGTGATATAATGAAAACGAAAAGCAACGGAAGTGGGAACTTTAATTTGAAGCACTGTAGTTGAGTGTAGCATGCCATGAACATAATTATATGAAGAAACCTCAAAAATATCATGATGAATTATGGTATTTGATCTTGTACCTTAACTTCTGAAACAGGATCTATAAGCCGAAAATGTTGTTCTTCTATTTGTTCATTGTAGCGGTCAATAATAGATTTCACACTGCAATAAGCAGAGAGGATTATTTAATCATTAAGATGAAAATGAATGCATGTCATAGAATCTTTGCACGCATCATTGTTGTGAAAATTAAAAGAATAAATATTTATCATGAATTTTAAAGAGTAAACTTGACTTTTGAATACTGATCAATGCAGAGAACATTATTATAAGGTAAGCTCTCTCCCCCCCCCCCTCTTCCCACCTTCCCTCTCTCCTCTGTCTCTTTTCAGATATATGTGTTTAACTCTTATATTTGCATGCTATTTAGAACGTTTAGAGAGATTATTTGATAATTTTTCTGTTGATTCATCATATATTGAAGCAATAATAATGCACACGGGTAGTTTTTGAATGGATCATTATTGCCGTGTTTTCAGAATATACTCTTTTCCGTCCTTTTTATAAAACACTTGCAAGAAAAAAGTTTTGGGAGAATGATGAGTCCTAAAATAAGGAATTTATGACAGTTAGGTCCCCAATAAAATTTTCTGAAAAATCAACTGCAAATATTGATTTAGACATTTTTAAATTTAAAAGTTTCAATTACAACTAAGATATTTAAATTTTAAATATAAATTTTAGTATTTGCAATTGCAATTCCTATTTGCAGCTATCTGAATCAATATTTGCAATTTATTTTTTCAGAAAATTTTGTTTGAAACCTAACTATTATCAATTCATTGTTTCCGACTTCACTGTTATTCTCCCAAATTCTTTCTCCTTTTTACAAGACACATATGAGATAATCATTACTCCTTCGATTTTATTTATAGGACAGAGACAAAGAGTACTTGTTTTGCTCTTATTTATAGGGCAACTCTATGATTTTTTAACTCTATCTTTATCCTTTTTTACCTATTAAATACTGGAAAAATTATTAAATATTGAAGTATTTATTTTAATATATATTTAATAGGGCTAACATTAGAAACATACTAATTTTTAGATAAGTTTAGCTTCCTTGATTTCAGTAAACATGTTGAAAATAATTTGACTTATAAGTACTAATGGAAGGATCGTACATATTTTCCACATTACCCTTATTTAACGTCTCAAGGCAGTGTTCCATATCATCATCATCATCATCATCATCATCATCATAAAGATCATTTATTAAGGGGTGATTATCACAATCACCGTAGAGGGATAGATTTCATTAATAAGTTCGTGAGCTTTCATATTTTAATTTGGTCATTATATAGATTTGAGGGGTGAGTTTACAGTTTGGGGCTCAAATAGGGGAAGGTAGAGGCAATGGGATGCTAGGGCTTCGTGGTTCTAAATATATTTCAATTCTGATTGATAGTTTCTCCTTGCTTTCTCATCCTTTTCATGTATATCTTATTTGTGAAATATTTTTCGTTGTGCATAGTTTGTATTTTCTTTTGGATAGTTTCTCTCTTTCTCTTTTAGGAGAATAAGATATTATCCTGTTTTTAAGAATGATATATTTAAGTTAGGGTTAAGATAGAGTTAGAGTTCTACTCCCTCAATCCATTTCTACATATACAATGGAAAATAACTGTATCACACAATTTAAAAAATTAATTAACTATAAAAATTATGTTTGAAAAAAAAATGGACTAAAATACCATGTATTTAATCAAAATAAGGCAACATTAATTATTTATCAGGATTGATCAAAATTATGAGTTTATAAGGGGTGATTTAGAAAAACTGTAATAAATACTTATTGACATATATATGCAATTTTGCTTATGAAAAACAAAACAATAAGTGATAATTTCTCTTGTATATAGAAACAGAGGAAGTATAACTACAATTTATTCATTTGCCTGATCTTTGATTAATTGAATAAAGATTTCTGAATTTTTCTATGCATCTCCTTAATTCTCTCCCCTCCTTTCTCTTTCTCTCTCCCCTTCCTCCTTCCTCTTCACATCAGCCCTAATGCCAAAGTACTATTGTAGAACAAAGGAGGGAAAATGGGTTTGGATTTTTCCCTATTGTTTTTCCCTTTATTATTTCTCCACTGCAAATCAGAACCGTTTTAAATTAAATATGTACTTTCAAAAATTACTGAATCTAAATCATCAAATTTAATTTAACCGCTTAGATTTGTAGCGATTCCTTCTCTATGAAGGAGGAAAGCTAACTCCAGGAAAATGTGTGGGTTGGGGGGGGGGGAGAGTGAGTTGAGGAGGGAGAACAAGAAGGAAAAAAAGGGATATAGTATGCACTACTCAAGCAAAAATCAAATATTTTGTTCAATTCATCAAAAGGCCTAACAAGATAAGAAGGAAAAAAAACTAGTCTCATTTATGGAGGGCTAATCATAATTCAAAAATATAAAGCAACCTAAGCAAATTGTAATCATTAAATAAAAATTTGATCTACTAATTTAAAAGATTGAATTTATTCAAAAGAAATCTCCATCCAAATCTAGTTTCAAAAACAATCCTATTAAAACAAGAGCACAAAATATTGTCGATCCTATATTCCATTACATAGTCTCGCCATTGACTAGGTTTAAAGTACTAATAACTCAGACCTCCTTCAAGAAAATTTTTTGTATGGAGCAAGTACACCACATTATTGATGCTCTGTGCAATAAAATTGCACTAGTTTAATCAAATAAAATCTAATATGTCATTATTTTTAATAATATTATTTTTTGAATAGAGTGCCTCTTTATTTTCTTGTCTTGTCTTTCTCTATTATTATTAATAGTAGAATCAACTTATATTTACAAGGATCTAATATGGCATGTTTTTATTGGACAAAGTATCAATGACATGGTGTATCAAGTCTATACAAGAATTGTCCCCACGTTCCATTATATTGTTCATATGCACTCCACAATCAGTAAAATCCTTATATCATTATTTAAGACCAACTTAACATATGCCGTATATAGTTATTTATATGTATGTATGTATGTGAATGCATGCATAAATGCGTTTTAATGTTCTCTTGCTTGTTTGTGCATATCTATGAATTTCTCCATGTAAAAGTTCATCACGGAGTGCGGTTCAGTTCAGCCAGAAGATTTGAAATCTTTCATTTATAACGTTACATATATACTATTTCATGCACAGCTTTTTAAAGTTTTATTTAGAGTCGAAGCTAAAAGCTAGCTTTTATTAGCTCCCATTATTAAGTACTGTGACCCACAATCAAAAGAACTGAGGCGGGGAAAAAAAAAACAGGAGGGAAACAAGAATTAACTAAAGATCATCATCAGCTAGCAGAAGGAGGAGTTTCTGATATTTCTACCACGCCCTGTATATATATATATATATATATATCAAATCTATAGGGAAGCATGTAAGAGAAGAAAATATAGCCAGACATACAATCTAAATCATATCAATTTGCAAGCTTGCAGGTACTGATCTTTTCACTCACTCTCTCTCTCAATACACACACCCACACACACAAGTGAGAAGATATAAGAAAACATGTTAATTTCTTCTAGGACCAACAACAACTACACAGCATTGGACAGAATATCATCACATTTTATCTTTGGCAGAAAAAGAACCCAGAAAAGAAGAAGATCTAAAGGCATATTTCTCAGATCAAAGAAGAGATCAGAAGCACAGTGAAAATTATATAAATGACGTAATAGCTTCTGATAAAGCAAAGAAAAGAGTGAAAAAGATATTAAACTGGTTGAACTCAATAATAAGTAAGGAACCTGGAGCTTCCATATTCATAGAGCTTGCCAGAGCTGGAGAAGACGATAACTCCAACTTGTGCCTCGCAGAGGATCGAAAGCTCCCTAGCTTTCTTGAGCAATCCACTTTTTCTCTTTGAGAAAGTCACTTGCCTGCTCGTTGAATCGTCAATCCTCTTAATCGCAATCCTTGCTCTCCCCATCTCCCTGTGGCTTCTCGGATCAGCAGCCATAAAAAATCAGTAATAAAGCAGAAACTATTCATCAATGGAACTCTTAAACAAAACCATACATATTACTAAAAGATCAATAAAATAAAAACATATACATGCCAGAGAAGCTTAAACTTACAGAACAATTGCAGGAGTAAGAAGACGACGACGAAGAAGATCGAAGAAGAAGGCAGGCTTATTTGGGCGAAGGTCGTGACTAGAGAGGCTTTTGAGGATTGATGTGCTTTGAATACTTTATTCTTGTCAAGCGGTTTTGTTTCGTCTGTCTCGATTCTTATCATTTTGGGGGATATAAAATTTTTTTTGGACAATGAAAAACCGCTAGTGGTTTTCTTGCTAAGAATTGGCCTAAACGCTCGAGGGTTGCTTGGGAAGACTGATGGCAAGGGACAGATGTCGATCAGGAAGAGCGAGTGATTGTCGCGTGAAGTATCTGCGAGTAATATTCTCTTTTAAAAAAATACCTCATTTAATAACTGACCGGCAACTTTTAAATTTGAAAAAAATAATCATTAGGTGTTTATAGTTTTGACACAATTGCAACTCAGTCTCTCAATTTTGACTTATTATAATTCAGTTTTTGAAGTTTTCATTCGGTTGTCAATTAGTCTTTAAAATTTACCTCTTGCAATTTAGCCATTGAAATTTTAATTTCTTAAATATTGATCCCTATCTTTTAAAAAAATTATAAAAATTAAAAATATTTAAAAATTTATTACTAATATTTTAAATTATTGAACCCTTTTAATCTTTATAAATATTATAAATATTAAAAGTTTTAACCTTTATAATTTTATTTTTTAAAATATAGGAACTAACATTTAAGAGGTTAAAACTTCAGAGACTAAATTACAAGAGGCAAAGTTCAGGGATTAATTTATAATTGAGTCAAAACTTTAGGGACTAAGTTATAACGAGTCAAAGTTAGGGGGATTGAGTTGCAATTGAGTTAAAACTACAAGGACCAAATGATTAATTTTCCTATTAAATTTTTAATAACCCATTTCATTAATAAATACACTTTTCAATAATGAGTAGGGACAAAAATTGGAAATTAGTGAAAAGGACCTTGTTGAAAGAAAAATTAGTCCTAAAGACCAAATACAATTTAAGGACCAAAGGCAATATTTTATTCATTAAAAAATATGTACAAATGATCAAAATCCCCCTCTCTTTAAACCAATGAAATTGAAAAAAAAAGCTACCTGTTCAAAACATGCACTCCAAGCCAGAAGCCTTGCACCGCAAGCTAGAAGCTTTGCACCCAACCTAGAAGTCTTGCACCTCCAGCCAGAAGCCTTGCACCCCAGTCAGAAGCCTTGCACCCAACCTAGAAGCCTTGTACCCCGGCTAGAAGCTTTGCACCTAAGTCAGAAGCCTTACATCCCTAACCACAATCCTTACATCTCAAGCCAGAAGCCTTGCACCTCAAGCTAGAAGCCTTATACCCTTGCACCCTTAGCTAGAAGCCTTGCACCTCTAGCAAAAGCCTTGCACCCGACCTAGAATAGAAATTATGCCCAAGGATCAAATCAAATTTAAGGACCAAGCCAAATATTTTATTTATAAAGCAATTAGTTTAAATGACCGAAATGGCCCAATGCCTTTAGCTTGGATATTTCCTTACTGCTTATCATGTTAACGGATGATGTCAGAAATCCATTCTTGCTCTTGACCGGTCCACCTTCCATCGTCACTCCTTCCCTTGAAGTTGCCCCTTGCCTTCTTTGCCTTTTGCCTTTGCTCCTTCTTTCACTATTGCTACTCTTTCTCATGCTGTCCATTATTCAATCTATACTTGCCATTTCACTCTTTAAATACCAGATCTACTTATGCTTGGCATTCAAATTTTGCTACTGCCATTTTGATGCTTCATCCTGCTGTAATTGTTGTCCAAAATTGATACTTTTGATTTGATGCCAATGTTGATACCTAGTATTGTTATTTTTTTACATTTAATTCTCATAGAATGCAATTACTTCATATAGACAAATGCATCATTTTCCATATCTTCCTTTTCAAACATCACTTCTAATAGCAACATAGTTCTATGTATTAATAACCTCAATTTTGTTTTGGAGTGAGGAGTCTCATATGGTTGGTTTTTATTCCATTTTATCTAGTTTAAGGATTTTGTTTAATATTTTCTTTACTCTTGATCCTTAGGTTGGTTAATGAATGACTAAAGCATTAGAATTCAAAGGTTAATGTAGAGTTGCTCAATAAAAGTAATAACTTCCTTTTTTGTTTTATTTTAGGGGGTATATTTCTCATAGGTATGCAATAGAGCATAGATGTGGTGTGGTTGTCAAAGGACCAAATTTGAGTGGAAACATAATAGTAATTGACCCATTAAAGGACCACCACCTACTTTTGAAAGTAGAAGCTTTAGATGATTCTCAAGAAACAAGCCATACTATAGTTGTTGTTAATGAGGTGTCCAAGGAAATAACTAAGATTCTAGTTTCACATCTTGTGAATGCTAAACATATTGCAGAAGGGAAGAACATAGCTAATGTAGTCTTTTTAACAGGTTGTGCTATTCAAATTGAAGTCTATTATTTGAAATTTTATCATATTTTGTTCATTTAGTTACCAAACATAAAAGTACTGCTTAATGAAACCAAAATCTGCAACGTGATCCATTTGCATAGTCTGCTACCTTAAAGGAAGGCACGTAAAGTGAATTATTTTTAGGAAATACTTAACAGTATTTAAAACTTGAAAATAATTATGGTGTTGGCTATTCTGGTTGAACTATAGTTGTTGTTCTATACTTTGAAATTTATGTTTTTCTATGCTTTTGATCACAAACTTGGTAAAATAATTGGATATTAAAACACATGGTGTTTCATCCCAAATAAAAAAAATAGATGTAACATATCCGAAATTGCAATATAATTTATGGATGCTAATGTGCTCATTTACACGTCTTATAGATGCATCTATTTTAAATTTCTTTTTATATGTTACTCCATTGGTAAACAGACATGGCTTGTGGCCATGCATGGTAGCTTTAACAAAAATAATTGTTGGCCTAGGCTTATCACTTCCAATTGATATTCTTGAAGCTCTTGGAGCAACTAGAAATTATTGAATGCTGCTAATTTCAAAAGCAATAGCAATAGCCAAGGCACTCTTAGCTCTGCTGTAGTCTTGTCATCAAGTTTTTGTACCTAAAGAGGATAAACATAAAGCAAGCCGATTAAAGGGATATGACTTTGGATTTCTACATATCAAGGTCAAAATTTTATTAGTTTTTGTTTCATTCAATTTGCTTACTTCTAAGTACTTTTCTTTTACACTTCATATCAGCATGAAAATCTCACCATATGTAAAGATGATTTCCCTTTCATTGTTAGCTTTTTCCCAAAATGAGAAGCTAAATTGTGATTATCATAGGACTAACATCACAATCTTATGCATGTACTTTAGAAAAATGCTTATGCTTATTGGTTCTACTGCATGTTACTCTTGGAGATTAAAAGCAAAAGATGAATATAAAATGTAGAAGTGTGTGCATATGTGTGTAGAAGTGCCATTTTCTATTCATCATGTGTTCATTTTATTTTTGATAAACATAAAATTGAGCTTGGGCTTAATTTTAAATATGTGTTTGATGTGCTTTGATTTCCCCTCATCTTTCCATTTGTTTTCAAATATACGTGTCATGTGGATGTTTAAGTATGTTTCATGTTCAGTAATTCTGTGGGTATTGTGTGTTAATGCTTGAATGACCTACTTGTGATGGATATTGATTTTCATTTCAGGCATAATGTTTTTAGTGCTCCAAAGCATAAGGTTTTGTTTAAAGAGGATAAAAAAATAAGTTCAAGTTAATAAGCTTTTACATGCATATCATAAGTTAAGTGAGCTACAAGGAAATACTAATTAAGGGATTTCCCTGGAAGATTGAATAAAATTGTGATTGTACTTTAAAGTGTACTTTTGACCATCCTTGTTATTTATTTTTTTTCTTATACAAGGTATGATGTAGTTTAACATGGATATGATATTGTTTTTAACCTCAGCCCCTATGGTATATTTTTTAATATGGGGTGCCTTATGGTCTTTATTTATCATTTTAATTGTACTTGATAGAAAGATTAACCAAATCTAATGGAATTAATGTTCTTTTATTGAAATTGTTGTTCATTCTCACTCTTCACATTTACTTGTTTTTTTGGGACAATTCAGTTGTCCTCCTTCTTACTTTGTTCATATGGCTTGCTATACAATAGATACTAATTAAAAAGAAAGAACTTATTGTGAATGTTCCCTTATCTGTTTTGTTTTATTTATAGAGTAGGATGTAGTTTAACATGGGTATTATAAAACTTCCAATTCTTAAACACATAATTAGTACATAATTAACCTTAAGGTAGAGCTATCGTGATATTTATAACTAATTTAATAATAAAATATGTCATGGAAAGAAAAGGATCAACCTTGACTATATAAAAACTCAAAGAGGCTAAGTAAAAAAATCCCATAGAGATGAGATCCCATAAATAATTAAATATCAAAATTAAGGTCATTTAGCCATTATAAATTAGAGTAAAAACTGATTGGGAAGCATAAAAAATAATTAGAGTTGAAAACAAGCCAAAATGAGGTAAAAAGGGTCATTTTTTCTTAACAGGAGTACTTGGCTATGAGCAGAGAACATTAAGCCGCTGCTAACACTTCTAATGAAGCTTTAGCTATAGTCAATTCTCTTTTGGTTGCAGCAAAATGGCCTCGAGAACTCCATTGGCTACAACCAAAAAGCTATAAGCCATGGCCAAAGATGTCATGACAACAACTATCATAACGGTTACCCAATCATGAACTTTTAATGCGCATAACTTTTGACTTCGATATCTGATTGAGGTGATTCAAGCTCCTATATGTCAAAAATTTTATAGTCTAGCTAATGATTTTAGTTTTATGTCAATATGGCATCAAATGAAGAATTTAAAAACTCAGGGACCATAATTTGACATTTTTGCCTCTAAAATGAACAACCAAGTGTTCAAATCTCACACCATAAGCCATTATCTTTCATAAGGGCTTACACTATACTTGATAAGTTCTAATACACTTGTCTAAATAGTCACAAGTATCAAACAACTCTTGATATAAGAATTGACCACCCAACCACCATAAAGTACATAACGAGGGGTAAAAATGTAATTATTTGCATTCAAACTACATAATCA